TAGATATACAGACAATGAGACGGACAGATAACACACCAAGAGATACACTAAACGTTAAATCTGCAGCTTACATAATGTGCTTTGGGGAGAGGAGAAGGAACCTGGTGTCAAAACATAATATTTGGGAAGATTAAAGAGCACACCCGGTCTCTTTCCAACATCCTTAGGCACTTTGCCAGAGATTTTAAACGTTGTGTATCTGCTCATTTATTTATAAATCGGTCTTCACTTTTCCTTTTTAGTTTTAGGGTGAGTGGTTGGCGGATGCTCTGGTGTAGTCGGCTCCTTCTGTCCTGTAAAACATCTGTCGTCCCCATCTTTACTTCATCTTTTTTCGTGTTTGTTACTCTTTAGTAACACCTCTAATCTTCGGCACTTATATGACCTATCTGTGTTGCAAGTACCGTAAAACTCTTACTAGTTTTAGGGAACGCGAGCAAGATAGCGTACAGATGTGTGCGTTATATGATGGTTACTAATGAAAGTTATAAGAAAGAGACAAATGCAGTCAGTTTTGACTTTTTTCTTGAACAAGATGGAAGGACAGATGTAGAACCTTCCAACTGCCTGCAATAACCCACTGTGTGCAGCATTTCACAGGCTGTCTTCTGCACAAGATATTTAAAAACAAAACCAAAAAAATATAACATTTTAACTTCTTCAAATAGCTTGGCTGTTTCGTTGCTAGCTTTTTATTAAAATTCCTTGGAGTGATGTCAGCTCAGTTGGTATCATGCTGAGCTAAGAAGTGGATAACCCTGGTTCGAAACCCCAGCGAGCGTTCTGAACATGGGGTGTTTTTTAAAATAGTTTTGAAGGCTCTCCACTCTTCATGGCCGGTCCTCTCTGAGATGGACATTAAACACGGGTGTCTCAACTTGCTTATCCTTCCAGTGTTCAAAGTGATAATAAAAATTAATATATTGCAAGTACGTAACGCAAAACCGCGCACGACAGCAAGTTCTGTGCGCTTTAATAATGAATAGCATTTTAACATAGCGCAAATTCCCTCTCAACAGCCAGCCCTTTGCGCTTTGAAATCTATAGTACATGTATTACCCCGGCAAACCTGATAGCATTCTGAAACAATTATTTAAACTTCCTGGGAAGCTAGCAATGCAAGCTGCCTTCTAGGCTGTAGGCGCCCAAACACTAACATACTGACAAGATCTTTCGCTGTCTGTGGCCGGGTATCCTTTAAAACTGGGTGAAGCCAGGAACTTGGTGTTAAGTGCCTTTCCCAAAGACACAACGTCGGGCATGAAGCTCGAGCCCCCAAACTCGCAACCTCACGATTACGAGTCCGTCAGCCTAACCACTATTACAATTATTATTACCCCCATGCCAGCAGACCATCCAGAAACATTATCGTGTTCCCGAGTCGCTTTGAACCTATATAATTATTGAGCACATTAACTGTCGCTCATTAACAATTCTGTTTTTGTCTTCCTCAGAGTGAGCAGTCACCGCCCAATGTGGAAACCCGAGCTCTCTGAGCCATGGAGATACCCGGCAGGCAGGGGGAAGAACTCGATGCGCTTTCAAATCACCGAACTTTCACCCGCCAAAACCTTTTACCTTGTGACGCAGACCCACTGAACAGTCCAACTTCTATTGGAGATTCACAACCAGCGACTGAATTATGCTGCCTCAACATTTGCCATGAAAACCCGCCAAATGTCCAATGGCCGAGCGAGACGGGGGAACTGGAGCGAACCGCCAAAAATCCTTCAAAGTGTCGTAAATTAGCCGGTAATTCGCTCACTCGTGGCGGGCAGACGGATGCGCGCGGCAGATTCCAGCCGGTATCGCTTGAAAGTGAAAGGTGTGCACAGGTGCGAAAATCAGCCCAGCAACCCCCTCCTCCCTCTGCTCCTCTCAGCTCTATCGCTCCAGCACCCCCTTCACAACCTGTGCTTTCACCTAACAATCCCTCACTCGCTCAACTTATCTCAAGCGAAGAACATCAAATGAACTCTTCCCCATCCCCTTCCTCCTCCTCCTCTTCTTCCCTCCTCCCTCCCCTCAACCCACGACTCAGCTCCCTATCCCCTCTCCCACCAGTGTGTGTGATAACAGAAGTACTGCTCACCCCCGACAGGGTCGAGGCGCGTGATTCAAACAACTCGAGAGTTTTTTCTCCCCCCACGAGCCTCTCCGTGTCGCGTGAGCCGACTGCCCTTCCCCTCCCCATCTCCAGCACATCTCACGATAATTTAACAGGAGCTGCCAACACCGAGCTCCAAACACCTCAAACTTCTCAAATTTTCTCTGTCTCCCCCTCCGCCTCACCTGGTTTGCGCGCGATAGCCAGTCGGACCAGCAGCCTTCACTCTGGTGAACGCCGCACCAACACAGAGGATCAGGAGCGCTGTTTGGTTTTCTCCGAAACTGTTGCGAAGAAAATTTCATCAACAGACGATAAGAGCGAGGGAGATTACGAAAGTGACGATAACAGAAGGAGCAGTAGCAACAACAACAACGGTAACAACAACGAGAAGGAGGAGGGGAACAACAAGGAAGGGGAGGGGGAAGAGGAAGGAGATGATGATCGTGATAAAGAGGGGAATAACAACAGAAACAATGAGGACAACAGTGTTATCGGTTTTGGGGAGAGCACGGGTGAGATATGTGCCGGAGGTTTGACAACAAGAGATCGTGTTTACCTGCTGTGGCCGGCCGCTCAAACTCAAAGTGATACCAGACAGCAGAGAGAGGAGGCGGGAACAGCGGAGGGGAAAGAGAAAGAGGAGGAGGAAAGAGAGGAGGAAGAGGGGGAGGACGGGGGCGCCGCGGCAAGAGAGAGATCAATCGAGGAGCGGGCGATCGAGGGCTGGCGGAGTGGTGAGAGAAAGCCGAGTGGTTGTGGCGTTGTTGCTGAAGTCGCCGCGGAGAGAAGCTACCTCCACGACTACGACTACGACCACGACTCCGCCTTCAGCGCTATCAGTAGCGTCCGAGAGGCGCGCAGTTCGAACCTTGCTTCACCCGTGGATACCGGTGGAGCTGAGTGTGTGTGTGCAGATACAGACCCATCTACATCAGATTCATTCACAGAGAGAGGGCAGGGTGCTGGTAAGTCTCTGCCGTTCTCGGAATCTGATAGTGGTGGTAAAGACCGGTCACTTCAGCCACACACTGACCGACGGTCAGCACGTGTGAGTGGTCAAGGATCACTCGGAGAGGGTGAGCTTCTGTCGTCTAATAATAGTACAAATTTCTATACTTGTGTGGGATTCAACTCTGACCAAGAAAATTCGCCAAAAGGTGTTAGATCTGATGACGTGAGTGCCGGTGAAATTATTCGAGAGGATACTACTCTACGTAACCCGCGGCACAGCCACAACGACTGTCTCACACACGAAGAGTTTGTGTTCGAATCTCACCCCCCAGGAAGGGCAAGTGATAGTGAGAGATTTCAAGAGGGCATTAATCGAGACCCGTGGTGTTTTGATTCTTTGTCGGATTCCGGAGTAAGTTTTGTAAGTGAACGTGACGTCGTATTTCAAGACGCCCCCACTTCGGATGAGTGTGCGAGCTTACCACTTCCACACTCTGCTTCAGTTTCAGCGGGCAGTGAGTCCAATACACACGCCACCCACTACCCCTCTACTCACACAGAATTCAGCGAAAAACTCGATTCGGCGTGTGCTATTTATAACGCAGACGTCATCGGCAATGTGAAATATTGTCAATGTGAAATTCTCTGCGACTGTTTCGCAAGGAACCTCCATTCCGAGACTGTGCGATACCCTCCATCCCAGACAAACCCGCTAATCCCGTCCGTCTCCGATAAGGGATTGTCTTATCTTGACAGCGGGGAGTCCAGTAATTGGTGTCACTGCTCGGTGACTGCTAATGAGGCGCGGCCGCTGGTCATCTCGACTCACGCTGACCGCTGCCTGGCCTCGCGCGACCCTGGTGGTCACTACCTCAGAACTGACCAGCGCTCACATGATGGATGTAGTAAGGGCCAGTCGGGTGTAGGTGCAGGTGTAGGATATGAGCTAACAGTTCAGTGTCCAGTGGATAATTTTTCTGTCAAAGGTAAGTTTTGGCGAAATCTGTAACTCTCTCTCTCTCTCTCTCTCTCTCTCTCTAT